GTTTCTTTTTCCCCCCATTCCCATAATTGCTGATTCGTTTGCATGTCAAACTCATAAACGCATGTCCCATCGGCAGTTTTAGCGCTCTTCATGAATGTGCGATCGGAATTCGCAGATTAAGAACGTCCTTTTTGAAATTCAACTTCATCGGGATCAGTCRAGCAAGAACGTGTTTCATATGTATCCATAATATCCACCGAACTCATTCTAACGGATTCGCGAGAGATGTCGAGTTTTCTTGCCGTCTCTCTAACACTTGTTTAATGATTTTCAAGCACCATATCCTTCCCATTTTTTAATTTTTAATCAGCTCAAGAAGTCAAAAGATGCCTAAAGCGAGGCATGTYGGGTTAGAAATACAAAATTTGAGATAAATTCTTTGTTCGATAAGATAAGATATACAAATATATAATATATATGTACTACAGTGACCAAATTAAAAGGTGAATTTTTAATTTACACTTCGCATGTTTTTCGAATCGGTAAATTTTTTTTCCTATACGTTGGTAGTACTGTTTGTGACATATGTATATGCTAAATTTCACGTCAGAATATTTATTAGTATTTGAAATTCATGTCGATTTATGAGGCACTAAACGTGCATTGGTTTCGCCTCATTTTCAACTAATATCGTGCCGCAACCACCGCATTCGTCTTATTTACCTWCGTGTAACTTCTGACTATTCAACAAATTGAGATGACCACTCCGAGGACACTGTTTTGAATCAATTGAGGATATAAAAGCAGAATCGAAGAAGGCTCTGATGGCCATCACGAAATCTTTTCCTGAAAACAGTATATCTGTGTATCAAAAATATTCGAATAGCGTCAATACTTCAATTAGCTCCAATGTACCTAATATAAAGATTTTCGAACATCCGGGTGACTTCAGTTATCCTAATAAAATTGAGAGAGCGTGTTTTTTTAATAACCGTGCATTTTTGTGTAGAACGAAWAAATCGGGTGAAAAGTCGGCCTAGACCCCATATAACTAACAAGTATTACCCCGGGCTTAATCCTTGCATGTTTCAAGAGTATGAAGTGTTCGGTTATACAAGAACTTAGCCTTTCATAGTTTGTTTTTTGTCTGTATGAATATATATTTTGAAAAATTTTGTGTTCGTTTCTGAGAAATATCCACGTCGACTCTGAAAACATCATTTCCAGAAGAGTCCGAAACTTTTTTCGCTCAGATACAATCTACAGATATTTAAAAATGAAATAATTCTTAATAATATTTATCGAATAAGTTTCCAAATTTTCACCGCATCATTGAAAAAACCCCCATATTTCTTTGATAACAGWCCCCCCTTTTAATACAACGAACTAACTATCAGTTCTTATTGCATACTTTTCGGCGTTTTGGCCGAAGATATATACGCGAGGYTGGATCGATATAATATAAATAAATACATACTACCTATATATATACCTTATAAAAACGCAAATTTCGGTGAGTCAAATAATTAATTATTATTGGATTATTTCAGTTCGCTTTACAATTTCGACTCATCTGGTTGAGCCATATATTATATTAGTTCAAAAAAAGTTTAAAAATTGTATACATATATGTATAACATATCGCAATAAGAATTGYGAAATAATCTTAATAAACTTTCTGAATCTTTAAAGGGCAATGAAGTTAATAAAATTAACCCAACAAAATTTTCATTTGAGTCATTCTGTAGTTAGCGAAGACACWATTTAGTTTTTCACGCTTTCGTTTTGGTGGTGAGTGTATTTACTACAATAATATTCTGGTCCTCATTATAATTTATAAATATATATAAATAGCATTGTACATTTTAAGTGMAGCATAAAATAATCTAATGTGTATACATATATACTTATTTTATTACTGCCATTAAATACCTACAACGCCTTCATAAGGAAACCCGATCGAATTTTTCAGCTGCTTAATAATATTTTCTCTGCAACACCCTTTGCAAATGATATTCCTTATATAAATTATCTGTTAGACAAACAGTTTGTTGGTGCCAAACTCTGCTACATCCATTAAATATGTGGTTATGAGAACATAGTTTTATATAATTTTTATGTTTGTTGGTAAACAATTGAAGTCTTTAAAAACCCAGCTAAAAATATGAAATTTTAAATCTAAAAAAATTTTGTTGTTTTTGATTGAAGACTTTTGCTGGAAGAAATTTTGAAAAGCACCATGGGTTAGTGAATTTTCGCARTCTAAGCTCTTTTAAAAAAATGCTCTATTTGAGAGCTGATGAAGACGTTTTTGAAATACTTATGTAGGGGCTTACAATTTTATCAACTCACTAGCTTTAAGCTGACTTCAAACATCTGATAGAGTTTTTAAAATAYATGGTTTTCATAGTAAAAATATGATATCCTCGGAAGATTGCCATTAACTGTCGTGAGTCGGCCGCTGTTKGGTTGTTGTTTAAAAAATGGTTAAAATAATCTTAAGTATTTTCATTCGCCAATATAAATATGCACACAATTCATATTTTCTATTTATCGTAAATAAAACGATTTTTTTTTTTTATTCTGAAACAAAATTTATTATGAACTTGCATAAAGTCGTACTATTGTTATTTATACATATATTGAAACAATGCTTTAGAGTTCTAAATTTATGTATTTAAAAATCATAGTTAAATTTTTGCTAGCTGGTTTTGAGTTTTCAAATGGCTGTTTTGAAAGCCCAAATGTCGCTGAACATAATATTTAATTATATTATTTAAATCCTGAATTAATATAAAAGCATATTTTATATGTGTTATGTTACACACCTTAGTCTTGATTTAATCTATGGGAATTGCATGAATATGCTTAATAAGTGTTAAAATTATTTTGGGGTTTTAAAAAAATAGCTTGAAATAAGTTGTTTTCTGTTAAAATTATTTTAGTTACATTAAATGAGTTATTTTTTAAGCATGGCTAATGCTGGTCAAAAATTTTTCATGGTTGTCGAAAAATATTTGACTTTATTCGCCTCTTTTAAATAAAAAAAAAAGTTACTAAACTTTATACCAAAAATAAATTTATAAAAGCATACAGATAAAAGGCTATTAAATAAAAAATAAGAATATGTTCGCCCAAACTACGAAAATTTAAGGTTGTGTTAATTTATTTATTTAAAAATTAAAAAAAAAATGTATGCTAATTAATTTTAGAGTTCTAGATTTATAATCTTTATRTATCATTTGTTAAAGCTTTTTCATGGCTGCGAAAAAGTTTTAACTAAAATGATAACATAATGAATATTTGTTTTTAAAAAATCTCAAAAGTTATAAAAATTAAGTTAATAATTAAATTTGAAATAATGAGTAAATTGTAATTATGTTATGTGTTATTTTAGTTTGTTAAAACCTTTTAATGGCTGCAAAAAGCTTTTAACATTATCTGTTAGATTTGAAAATCAACCAAGCCCATTTTTTTAGTAAAAATTCATTTATACTTAAWAATATTTAAAAGGAAATTTTTTCTCGCATTATCGTTATAATGCAATTTTAATTTTAACAAAAGTT